TCGACTCTCCTGACAGGTAGAACCTGCACGACATCCGAAACATCTTCTTCCTGCTCTTGAATGTCCATCATCTCACTAGCACCTTGTAGTTGTTCCGAAATATCCAACTCACTATGTTGGGCTCGACGACGCTTCGGTGATGTAGGACGGGTCTCGTTATCGCTGTCGTTGTCAGTAGGAAACGACCGCTTGGTAGCACTTTGAACAACCGGTGACACATGATGTTCTCCGTCAGAGACCGAGGCAACATCCAAACGGTGTTCTTCCCTAGCACCTTGTTGTTCCTCAATATCGTCTTTATAACGTTGGAACCAACGACGCTTCGGTGGTGTAGGAAGGCTGTCGTCATCACTCTCGTTGTCACTAGGAAACGATCGCTTCGTAGCACTGACACTAGCCATCACCGCAAATCCTCGTCACACTTATAAATGGTTGAAAACTTACTTTTCACGCACTACACAATTTCAAAGACTCGAAAAATAGCACCTCTCACAACCACCTCTCAGAGAAGACTGACGCAAGACCGCGCGGGCTGTTGCACAATCGTCGAAACACATGACCATATATGGTAATGTTCTCGAACGTTCCAAGATGATCACGTGACCTATCACGTGGCATTTCCTTTTATGGTAATGTTTCTAGAACATTCCATGATCACATGATCCCAAGACAAGTGACGTCACTAAACACGGAACGACTCAACTCAAAAGACACGTACAAATCAACATGAAAACAATGAGTTTCAAATGGCGTGTCAGTATACATTGAGATCGAAATACTGCATCTTCATACAAATCCTCTAGTGAAAACATGAGCACCGAATGATGCAATCGGCGCCATTTTTGTGCAGTTGAGAACCTATTGGTGGTCCTATATAAAATGAGATTCAAAAGCTGTTGTCGTTTTCGATCTCAGCCGTGAGATCCTATTATACGACAAGTATACCAAATGAGAACTGATTTAACGTTGCAATCGGCGTCATTTTTGTGCAGTTGAGAACCTATTGGTGGTCCTATATAAAATGAGATTCAAAAGCTGTTGTCGTTTTCGATCTCAACCGTGAGATCCTATTATACGACAAGTATACCAAATGAGAACTGATTTAACAATCTTTATATCTACACAAAAAAAAATTGTCATCCAAATCAGAGGATCAGTCTCTGTCTGTAAGATCATCCTCTGTTTACATGTGACGTCATGGACACACCTCCCTTCCCGACCTACCTCAACCCACGTGGTCTACACTCCTCCCTCCTCTGTCCTAGAACGTGAGTTTCAAATGGCGTGTCAGTATACATTGAGATCGAAATACTGCATCTTCATACAAATCCTCTAGTGAAAACATGAGCACCGAATGATGCAATCGGCGCCATTTTTGTGCAGTTGAGAACCTATTGGTGGTCCTATATAAAATGAGATTCAAAAGCTGTTGTCGTTTCTGTAAAGTCGTCCAAATCAGAGGATCAGTCTCTGCCTGTAAGGTTAGGTTAGGTTAGGCAAAGTGAGGTTACCTACCTCAACCCACGTGGTCTACACTCCTCCCTCCTCTGTCCTAGAACCCCCAAAATGACTACTACTAATAGGCGCTTGTAGGAGGGAAGAGGGAAAGGCTACCAACAACAGTGAGTCACATCACTAGACGCTTGTAGGAGGGAAGAGGGAAAGGCTACCAGCAACAGTGAGTCACATAACTAGAAGTTTGTAGGAGGGAATAGGGAAAGGCTACCAACAACAATGAGTCACATCACTAGACGCTTGTAGGAGGGAAGAGGGAAAGGCTACCAACAACAGTGAGTCACATCACGAGACGCTTGCAAGAGGGAAGAGGGAAAGGCTACCAACAACAGTGAGTCACATCACGAGACGCTTGCAAGAGGGAAGAGGGAAAGGCTACCAGCAACAGTGAGTCACATAACTAGAAGTTTGTAGGAGGGAATAGGGAAAGGCTACCAACAACAATGAGTCACATCACTAGACGCTTGTAGGAGGGAAGAGGGAAAGGCTACCAACAACAGTGAGTCACATCACGAGACGCTTGCAAGAGGGAAGAGGGAAAGGCTACCAACAACAGTGAGTCACATCACGAGACGCTTGCAAGAGGGAAGAGGGAATGGCTACCAACAACAGTGAGTCTCTGTGCTCATAATAATTGTCTTTACCACTTGAATACTTTGCTGAAATATTTTTGGCAGAATTCATAATTCATTAGCATCACTGAACAACACTTCAAAATAATAGTTCGTACATTAATTCATTAACACCTCGAATACCGGCGACACAATGAACATAAACTCTACGAATCACTAAATACATCATTCACTTGTTTGACAGATAATTAAATATCATAAGCCCTATTGCCGCTCCAATCCGGCAAGCTAGTCCGGGAAGACCGTGTGAGCCGGACACTGAGCGCTGCAAATGGGGACGGTCGTATTAGCGACGCAGAGCTAGGGACACCGCGACCCTGTCATATGGAGTGATAGTTCTCTTCATCACTGTGTTTACGTCTTTCTTATTTTCTCACACACGGCACTAAGGAGTTCGTCAAAAGAATCAACCAACGTTTGATAGTAACAAAAGAATTTCTCTTTATGCTTCCTGTGTTCCTGGAACATTAGATTAAACTGTCCTGTTGACAAATGTAAAGAAAGCATAATCAATCAATCAATCAATCAAAATAACTTTATTCATATTGCACATTTTGTACAGAATGGAGTCAGTTATAAAAACACAATATTAAACTTAAGACTACTTACAAAGAACATTGTTATTATAAAAAAAATCAAATTTCAGGAAGTTGGAAAAAATCTTCTAATTTATACAAGGGTCTGTTGGTGAGAAATAATTTCAAACGTTTTTTTAATGAATTAAAATTACTTATATTTTTATATTGTCAGGTAAGCTATTGAAATATTTAACACCACTACAAGATGGAATTTTTTCATAAACCGATAAATTATGTCTGTTGAACGCCAATTCATTACCTTTTCTGGTTGAATATGTATGAAAAGAGTTCAATTTTGGCAATCTTTCATGGTTTGATTTAATATAAAGGGCTATTTGATAAATGTATAAGCTAAAAACAGTCATAATTCCTATTTCTTTCAACTGCTCTTTTGCGGATGTTTTTGACTTTAGTTTTAACATAATGCGAATTGCTTTTTTTTTGAAGTTCTATAATGCTATTTGGGTTAAAATTTGATGTGCCCCCATAAAGACACAACCCAAAAGAAATATGTGATTCAATTAAGGAATGATATACTATTTTTAAGGTTTTTAAACTACTAAATTTTGACATCTGTCTTAATGCATGTATGCCTGAGTTGACTTTATTACAAACGTTTTCAACATGACTGTCCCAGTTGAATTTATCATCTATATGCAATCCAAGAAATGTTATTGTTTTAACTTCATTTAGTAAAATTGTATCCATAAAAATATTAAACTCAGGTGAATTTTGCTCGTTGAAGAAAAATTTATATAATTAGTTTTTATTGTATTCGGTAATAAATTGATTTCATTTAAATATTGGTTACATTTGGTAAGCTCAACAAAAGAAGAAGGTAGAAGAAGGACTCAAGATAAGATGGGTTTTCCATCTTCTTGTATTCTTTTCTTTCGATAATACTCTTACATAATATCTAAAATGGACAAAAAGCTTACACAATCTAACTGGAGGGTGTCCATCTTGGAAATAAAATAAGTGCCGCGACAGGGCCTGGAAGTCGTTGGTGGGAAGGCATTGACGCAACGTCTAAAGCGCTCGTATGATATGGTCCTAATATTGTGTTGACTGTCAACACAATATTAGGATCTATATGTTATTATAGATTTAAGCATCCAACGCTCGTCGACTACTGTTCCAACTGAGTTCGAAATAACCTATATCTATTGCATTAGAGCCTGACGCAGCGCTGTGATTGGTCGAATTTTTTCATGCAGTTTATGGGAGTTTGTACTCATCTACTGAGTCCCCGTGTACTACCTGTTGTAAAAACATGCTGCGTCCATTATAACCTGTCCTAAAAACATTGACCCTGCTAGATAGAGTCCTTGTGGACCAGCCGCCACTTTCTGTGGTGTTAAATTAATCCATGGACAATTAATTGTAGATTGCAGTATGAAATTTAAAAAAGCAAAAGTGGTGGGTGAAGGTTTCTTAAGCATATGAAACCCACTTGCCACTGTAATTGACACCGTCAATAGCTCAGTGAATCCTTTTTAGGTACTGTATAAAAAAAGGAATTTACTCATTGTTATGGCTTGTCCCTGAACTGGTCTGACAAATAGACAGGGCAAAAAGACAGGAACCAGATGTTTTTCAAATGAATAGTAAACTTGTTAAGAGTTACTATCTCAAGGGGAGAGGGGTGTTTTTCATTGCTGCATATTATGCGATTTTAGTAGCCATGGAGCATTAGACGGTACAACAATGTATGTTCACCTATGATGCCCATGCATGAAATGGCCAGCCCATTACGGCAGCGTAGCGATTTTTCCTTTTTAACTTTCATCATGGACGCCATCATTTTCAGGCAAAATTCAACTAATCCTCATGTTTTAAGACAAAGGGATCCATAAGAAACAAACAACTTACCAAAAAACACTCTTACAATGCTGCAGACTGTTGATCGGTTAGATAAGCTTTGATTTGTAAGTGTCTATATGCTCAAGCACTTTTTATTAGGTCACAGGTAGGACAACAACGTTTCATAAACAATACTTAAGTTTATTTTCAACTAGATCGACAGGGCAAACTGCTGAGGATTTAATAGCCGCAGTGTAGTCTATGAAGGGTTATTTGATATTCTGTGGCCCCAAGGTCACCAGATTTGATCATGTGAGAATGGTTCAAAGTGAGAGTGTTCTCCTCTCCAGCCTTGGTTCTAGAGACAAGCATTTCTGAGCTGGGATGAAAATAAAAGGTAGATAAACCTATGTGTATAGTATGTAATTAATGTAAGAAATTAGGATATGAACTTAAAATTGATTTGACATACTTGAACTGTAGACACTTGGTGATCTCTTTCTCGAGGTGAAGTATCTCGTACAGCAAGTTCTGCAGCTGCAGATGACAACTGTCTGCTTGCTGCTTAGCTTTGTGTAGCTTCTCGCGGTTCTGGTTGGTTCTGAATTTCTCCAGTCGATTTAGTTTTTTTAGGGTGACAAACAATAGTGACGCATGAATACGTTTTTCAGCTATTTGAGTAGAAGCCTGGAAAAATTGTGTTTAAAAATGTATTTGCTTTTTCTAAGAGTATTCATAAGACATATAAATTCACTTCACGATAGATTAAATTAGATTAGATTTGTACAACACCAGGTTAATGTGAGGATGAGTGAAGGGTGAGGGTTTAATAATAAAGCCCAATGGTCAAGGACAATTTAGAGTCTAGTTTAAAATATTATTGAAATGTTATCTGAGGTGTTATCCCCAAGTCAGAATGCACCATGAATGCAGCTTGAGTTTGGGATGAGTGAATTGCCTTGCGTAACTCTGCTATAGACCAAAATCAGCTGAGCTATTAGTCATGATAAATTAGTTTTCCAATTATCAAATAGAGCTTCTTCCAGAATATTTCAAATATTCATCTGGATTCATTTCTGACTAATACTATATTGATATGAAATTTTAGGGCTATTAAGTAAATACAGAGTTGAGTGGAGGCACTACTTTTTATATTTTAGTGATTATAATGTCTACTTTTAGGTATGGTACCCACTTTTGATGGACAAAGCTCTAATTGCTCAACATTTAAATCAAATATGGTGAATTTAAGAGATTTGGGTAGCCTATAATAGAATAGCTAACTATAGCTTTTACTGTTCTATGATTATTATTGATTTATTTTACTAAGAGCAAGAGGTTTATAGATCCTATTGCATGTTGTTCATGCTTGATCAGGCCTACTGTCATGTATTTTATGTTTTGCTCATAGTCTTTGTTTAATTAGGGCCTACTAATACTTCGGGAGAAGAAAGCTTATCCTATTGTTGCCAACCTAGTTTGACTCAGAGTAAATAATTGTAGTCGTGAAGTATGGTACAGTATACTTTTTAGTGGTATGAAACTTCTATTAAGTTAACCTTCCATAACCTGAAACTACACTAAAACTGGATTTGTGTATCAGTTAACTTAGCTTCTAGGCTAAATCAAATTTAAGTATTACTATTACATTACCTGTGAAGAGCTCCCATTTTTCAGATCATTAATTTCGTTCGCTAGTGTCCTTAATTGTTCACTGGTTTTACAGAACAGTTCCAAATCTTTACTAGGATCTCGAGCAATAGCTTCTTCTTCTTCATTTGTAATTACTTCCTGGAAAAAAGTTAACTGGATATTCGTTGTTTCTAATAAGTTGAAAAACAGATCTATATATTAATTACGTTAGCTGATTCTTTGCGTCAAAATTGTGGATGACTGGGATGTCATAGAACGACTGGAGAGGTTTTAAATTAAAAAAGGTAACTATTCCGTGACTGCGGGAAAAAAAGTGGAATTTCCAAAACATTAATACAAAATTAGATACAACGTAAAATGTTCTCCATAAGAATAGTATTAGAAGCCATTTACAGCTGATTTTTGTTTACTTTAATATAGGTGATCGTGCTGTATCCCCAAGCCAGTATTCAATAAACAAAGTTGGTTTACTTCTTAGTCAGTTAACTCTTAAATGCACTGTATACTATATTAAAACCAGGGATAATGTCATCTATAATTGAGACCTTTGAAAACCAACGATTTTTGTGTCAACTATCAATATTGGCTTCGACAACTGGGAAATGGGACCCTAAAACCATAAAATATTACTCAATGTGGCTAATAAAACTGTTAATTTTGTATAGTACTTATTTACTTCCCTAAAGTTTCATCACGATCAGATGGTCGTTTAGTTATCCATAAAGGATTGGATTTCATATACATAGATAACAACAACCAAAGCAAACAGACAGACTTTTTTAGACAAAGATTTGGTGTACAGGCATATCCATGTGGCAAATAAATAATTTGATTCTTAGTTTGTATAAATATTAAAAGGCCTAAGTTGTTTTACAGTTTGAGCTTTTTAGGGACTTATGTCCCTGCTTGCCCCTAGTTGAGTTTATTTATTTATGTTTCTACAATGGTACCCTAACTTCTAACATAATTTTACATTGTTGTTTTTTATTAATACTAGGATGACTTAGGTAGTGTAGAAACATACAGACAGCGTAGCGTATTTATTAAATCAAAACCATGAATTGAAATGAGGTATGACATACTAGTAGCGTATTTTCGCATAGCGAAGCGCAGCGCAGCGTACGACCAAGGAACAAACTATTTTGTTTTCTCATAGCATATTGAAGCGCATTTGACTCCAGACACAACGTCCGACGTCCGGCTGTGTTCCCGTCCAGTAAGTGTAGTGTGTAGTGTACACGCCGTGTGTTGTGTGGTGTACAATACAATTTATTGTTAATATTAGTAGAGTAAACAATATTTTAGTACTCTCATTTCCTCATGGGAGGATTAGAAATGTCCCGTATCTAGCCATATTTTGCTTGAAGGAGTTTCTGACTTTTCAAATAGGTTGCGAACTTGTATCGCACCTTTTGTGCTCTTGGTTTGAAACAATTATTTCTTCTATATGCATGGAGGGCACAACCATGGCGAGCATTTTATTTTATTTTATTTTGCATGCTACAAAACAGAATATAAATCCCATTTACATTGCAGCACTATTCTAGTTTGTACAAAAATTGAGAACATGCTATGAGTTCATAAAACTGAATACAGTGAATAATAGACTGAGAGAAGATCTAATAGGATTCATTTGGTTTCTGAACGCATTGAAACGCAATTCTCTGAAAAGTGGATTGTTTTCTCCATCTTTATCTCTGATGACGTTGTGAAGAACACATGCAGCTTTTATAATTGCAGTGGCACTTTCGTACTTTACACACTTCATGTACCTCTACACTTCTCCTACTGATCAAAACTGCATATCATTTGATATAAATATGAAATTTAAATATTATAAACTGCTACCACCACAGTGCAGCCTTGGTGATTTTCTGGCTAGCAAAACAATAAAACATATTACAGTGTAAATTAATACCCCAACAAAACTAATGAATCAATATAACTTTTGTTTTGTTAATTGACTTGCTCTTACAATAGGCCTACATAGAACTCATTTTTTACTTTTATTGTTTAACAAATTTTTCCAACTTGTTATTAAAAAAGTATTTTATTGTCTAAGACATATTGTTGCATATTTTAGGTTTAGTTTTAATCTTGACAATGTCATTTGTTTTTTAACTAGCCTATATCAAGTCGTTGATAACGTCTTTGAAATGTCCGCGGGAGATGTTCATGATTTTGCCACAATCGCGCAGGACGATGATGACGTTTCCGTGACCACGGGAGGCGATGATAACGTCTACTCTTCCAGGGGAGATGTTCATGATTTTGCCGCGATGGCACATGACGACAATGACGTTTCCGTGACCGCGGGAGGCGATGATAACATCTACTCTTCCACGGGAGATGTTCATGATTTTGCCGCGATGGCACATGACGACAATGACGTTTCCGTGACCGCGGGAGGCAATGATAACGTCTACTCTTCCACGGGAGATGTTCATGATTTTGCCGCGATGGCACATGACGACAATGACGTTTCCGTGACCGCGGGAGGCGATGATAACATCTACTCTTCCACGGGAGATGTTCATGATTTTGCCGCGATGGCACATGACGACAATTACGTTTCCGTGACCGCGGGAGGCGATGATAAAGTCTACTCTTCCACAGGAGATGTTCATGATTTTGCCGCGATGGCACATGACGACAATGACGTTTCCGTGACCGAGGGAGGCGATGATAACGTCTTCTCTTCCACGGGAGATGTTCATGATTTTTCCGCGATCGCACATGACGACAATGATGTTTCCGTCATAGTACTGGGAAAGTTCATTAAGAGTCATAATCAGCTTCTTTTCCACCTCTTCAAAACTCCTAACTTGTGCCGCCACCGCCGTATCATCGGGATATATATGTGTAGCGTTTGGCACGTTGGTCGTTAGTGTATATGTTATAAAGAGCTGGGGCTAAGACGCTGCCCTGAGGCAATCCATTTCTTTGATTCCTCCATCTACTTTTCTTTCCTTGAAGGGACACGAAAAACCTCCTGTTATGAAGAAAAGTGCCTATCATTGAAGTCAGCTGATAGTCTTTGGTAATGCTGTACAATTTTCCTACAATTGCTGTTAAATCTACAAAAGCGATACCCGTGATCTGTTTTCTCTCAAACCCATCCTCAATGTGCTCGGTCAGGTTTAAAACTTGGCCACAACAAGACTTGCCTGATCGAAAGCCTGCCTGTTGTGGAATGATCTTTTGTTCCAGAAAATCGCCGATTCAATTGAGAATTAGATGTTCTAATATTTTATATGTGTGGCATAAGAGAGAAACACGTCAAAAGTTCTTAGAATCGTTTGGATCTTTCCCAGGTTTAAGCAGTGCAGCCACACAAGCTTTTCTCCATGCCTTTGGTGTATGCATTTGGCTTACGCACATGTTCATGAGGCTCAACAACCATTGCATGGCATTTTTACCTAGGTTCTTTAGTTGTTCGACTCTAATCTCATCAATACCTGGAGCTCTATTAGTCTTTAAGCTGGTAATGACTGCAGTTAGCTCGGACATGGTGAATGGTTCTTCCAGGAAGTGATTCTCACTTGCCACATCACGCACAACAGGCTCCCGGTATTTCCTTCCATAGGTTTTGCCATTTAAAAGAATGTTGGTAGCGACTTGATCGGCAGTAACTGTTGTAAAGTTAAAGATGTATTTTGGTTTTGTCACATCTCCAATTATGTTCTTGAGGAACTTCCAGGCCCGTCTGCTGTTCACTTGCATATCTAAACTCTCGACAAGATCGCACCACTTAGTTTTGCGAATTTCGGCAATGACTAACATAAGCTCTTCATCTGCTAGAAGTGTGTCCTCAGCAAAGGGATCATTGTCAAGGAGACCTTGGTATCGTTCTAGTAGTGGCTTTGCCTTTTCAGAGAGTCCTGCGATGTAATGGGTTTGGCAGCCTCTAGGTATCATTTTCCTCGAGACTTGCTGAACAAGCTTAACGAAGGAGTCACACATATCAGGTTGTGGAGGGATATTGGCAATTTCTTTGTCAATGATCTCTCTAAAACCCGTCCAGTTGGCCTTTTTGAAATTAAACCTGCGCCTTAGAGGAACAACTTCAGGTTTAACAACAGCACTAACAGTGCATACTGTAGGTCTGTGTTGAGTTATGGGAATCGGATCACCTACAGACTTATCACACTGAGAGTGTTCCACTAAAAAGAGACTAAGCTTAGCAGACATTCATGAAAATGTATGCCGTCCTAGAGAAACTCGCCTATAACTTATCATCATGTTCGATGCAAAGACCTAGCTTATTCTCCTAAGGAAATTTGAAACCTGTAGTTTTGACATGTCACATTTGCACTGAGATTAAACCTATATTTTTCTCTGATCATATACCGGTAATTTAAACCATACAACTCTTTGAAACAGGCTGAAAATCCATTTTAAAGGACCTTTGCCTTCAAAAACAAGAAATGAGTATGAGTATTATTTTATCACCATACATGAGTATTCTTGCTTCTCTTTTGAGTAGGCCTACGATGCCCTTGTTCAAGACCTTTCATCATATTCGGTGATTGATCTCCTGAAAAACCTATTTTTCGGTTTTCGATAGCCTACCTACATCTGTGTAACATAGCCTCTATATTCATTCAGACTGTGGAACTTCATTTGTTAGATAGGTAGTTTATAAAGAGTTTCTTGATTCATGTGAAGTGCAGCTTCACACAAAAACCTTTAGCCCTCAAGGAAACGGGCAGGCAGAGCGATATGTTTAAGCTCAATTTGGAAAACAATCGAGCTGGCAATGAAGTCAAAGGAAAATTGATCCTCGAAATAGGGAGCAAGTTTTACCCGAAGCACGAAATTAAAAATTCGCTCACTTCCATGTACTTAAACAAACAAAAGTCCTAATAAACAGATTTCAGTCATGTTTGTCGGTCAACATATGGCGAATCGACACCTAGCCTACTTGGCTCCTGACACTAAGTCCTGTAGCCTACTTTTGAAACGGAAAGTTTGTCACTCAAAATATGAACCACTTGTAGGCCTAGATGAGGTAGGTAACTCTACTTGAGAGGCAAACTCTTGAGTAAGTTTATTCTCATGTAAAGTTGTCATATGGCAGAGAGACAACAGTATCCCACAAACAAGACACCTGGCTTCTATCAGGGACGATATCTCTCTATTGCTAGAAGATAAAACACAGTCCCTTGAGCAAATGGAAAAGGCAGAGGATACGCGTCCGGTTTAGGCGTCCGGCGGTTACTATCATGTAACATAACCTAACTAACCGAAATTGCTGATGATGAAAAATCTAATGAAGGTTAAATTCTGTTCATAAAATAAAATTATAAATACCTTAGCCTAAATTCTAACAAAAGATGTACCTACAGTTAAGAATAAATAGCATTATAAGAAAAATCTTTGACAAAAGTTAGTGTCCCCGATGGGATTCGATTTAGATAAATCTTGTAGGCCTACATCAGCCGAGTAGGCTACTCTATCCACTGCACCACGAACACAGATAGCTGTACATCGTATCGTTGTAGTAATGGTGTTCCGATCCCCCACAACCCGGTGACGTCACTGCCCGATGCCCAATCAACGTTCAGTTACCAGACGGGTATCCTCTGCGAGTGGAAAATCATAAAACAGTAGCCTAAGTTAAGTTAAAAAAATCCTGTTCAAAATCAGTCAAGAACTCAGAAGATCCAGATAAATTTAAGTCACATCTTTCCATGAAGAAAATATCAAGGACAGTATCCAAATGAAGACGATTTACAAACTCAAACATTCTAAGCAAAAATGTAACTTAAGTTAATCACTGTCGCCCTGCCCACCTCCAACCATCAATAAACCCTAGAAGGGAAGAATCCGAAGAATGTTAGGCAGAAAGAATTCAAAATTCACAGAGGATACGCGTCCGATAACCAGACGTGGATTAGGCGTCCGGTAGTGACGTCACCGGGTTGTGGGGTCCCGGAACGCCATTGCCACAACGATACGATGTTCCGCCAGCGTTGTTCGTGGTGTAGTGGATAGAGTGCTCGGCTAATACCCAAGAGGTCCCTGGTTCGAAACCCATCGGTTTCTTTAACTTTTTGTCACAGATTTTGCTTTGAATGTAGGCCTAATTTCTTCTTAACTGTAGGGGACATCTTTTGTTAGAATTTTTGGCATTTATAATTTTATGTTATGAAGAGAATTGAACCTTCATTTGATTTTTTTCATTATCAGCAAGTTTGGTTAGTTAGGTTAGGTTATGACAGTAACTGCCGGACGCCTAATCCACGTCTGTTACCGGACGCGTATCCTCTGCGTTTAAAATTTAGCTGCTGATTCAATTTGTATTATTTGTTTTCTCAATCTTTTGATACTTTATCCCATGTATCCTATTACATTAGCCAACTAATTCAGTATGCCAACATGCAGGCTACACAAGTAAAAATAATTAATAAGGCACTTCCTGATAGGCCTAGTAGGTTTATTACAATGAATTAGAACTAACTCAACGAAGTTAATAGACCTAAGTTAATTCAATACGTAATAAGAGTCTTACTTTATAAATGTCCGATGTCGTAGTTGCAACAACAGTAGACTGTGGTTTAGAAATTGTTGAAGTTTGAGTTGTATCCTTCTTTCGTTTCTTGGGTGATGTGGGATCAGCAGTATCCTTAGCTGTACTATTTTCCTTTCCCATACTAAATTAAGCTTAAAACTTGCAGATATATAAATAGAATAGTGTATTTAATACATTCAAATTAAATTTTTATCAAATTATAACCTCAAATCGGTTTACTTCACTTGCTTGCTTGATGCGACGCGCAAGCAAACAACAATAACAAACAACAAAAAAAGCAAAGCCGAATGGGAATGGCTGAATCTGAAAGCCGAAAGCTGATGCATCTGTTACACTAAAAAAAATGCCACACTATAGTTTGCTTTAGCCGTCTAGGCTTTGGCTATGCAGCTTAATCTTTTGTGACAAAATCCTTGCATTGATTTGAAGTATTTATTTGAAAACATATAGGTATTACTTTGATAAGCAAATCAAAGGAAGTTAGTTTTCACACTCTTTTCACAAAGTTTGAAAATACATAAAATAATAATATAAATGAGTTAACTTACTTTAAGGTATGTTTTAGCAATGCATGCTAAAAAACTATAGGTACCCTGATATAAAGTGGCCTGAGAATATCCATAAACAAAACCATAGATAAAACATACTCCCTTGTGTTGGTTAGTCTATGACAAAACTTAGGACACATTGCTACGGTACTCAGAATCCCAACACTGCTCTTAGCTTATATTGTATTGACTTTGTCAATGATATGTAAAATAGTTGTAAGCACTACATATGAGATTTGCATTCTGATTTTGCCTTTCTTTAACGAATTCAATGAGTCCGTTACCACTAGTGATTTTCAGGGAAACCAAACAAACATTTTCAAGAAAGCCAATATTGCCCAATATAGCCAACTACTGTACCATAGACTCACTATATTTAATCTATCATAAATGCCTCTTGGCACAAGGAGTATAGGCCTAACGGTGGACTGAGCAAACTCTTTTTTTTCACAACAGGGGCCATATTTTTGAAATGATTGACATTGACAGTTGAGTCAATCGTCAACACTCAACCATTGACTACACTGTATAATTACAACTATAACTACAAGTTGTGGTTATAGTCAATGGGTCAACTCAACAATAAGAACATGATTTGATATTTTTGAAATCCAACAGTTGAGAAGTGAGTTGGTACCGGTAGTCACTAGTTTAGTTAAGTGATTCGTTTGGAATTGGAAATGAAAGCGGCAACACCAGTAACACCACACGAAATTCGAAATTGAAATACAGATGACATCAATTTAAACCAATTACAGTGCAGAGTGGCTTGCGAACTTCGATCCTAACCTCTCACTCTAAATTCTGGATCCCTTTTTTCAGCGAATCCAGCTAATCAGCCTTCTCTAGTACACGCTAATCTCATTCTGCAAACTGCAATATTTCGAGAAACTGAGGTAAACTGTCAACTCAACTCCGTCTGTGAGTGATTTGGAGATTAGGTCTTAATCAGCGATTGGAAAAGTGCCTTGTTTAAGTAGTCCAGATAAAATTAACTATGGAGGCTTGTTGTAGGCTAGCTCATTATAGGTACACTAGTAATAAATTATTTGCTTTCTTCGTCTCTATTTAAGAACAAATCACCTTATTTTAGTTCCCTTCGTCGTTTTGTTTCATGTTATTTGTAATTGTGTTTGTATGGATATTTGCCATTGCACTGAAAGCCAGCCCAAACCAAGCCTAATGCCCCCACCTAAAGCATTACATCTACACTCCACCCTTTTATTTATAACATTAGTCAGTATATGTCAGTAAATACCCCCGCTGCAGCAAACCTGCCGACTAAGCAAATTTCCATTTCTGAATTGATTTTTAATTAAATCTATTAAACAAAATTAGGTTTAATGAGTACCTAGGTTTGCTGCAACAAGGAAACTAATAAAGTGTATTCTTTTGTAAAATATTAATGGCTTAGTATAAAAAAATGAATTTGCAAAGTTGAATAAAAATATATCCATTTAAACAAGCAAACTACAACATTTTACAATATTGTCCTTAAGAATAACATGGGAATTTTAAACTTACAATTTTTTTAACTTTCTCCGTTACCAATAACCATACAATAACACATTGATACACTGAATTATTCGTTTTTTAAGCTCATAAAAATGTCTAGAGAGAAATTGGTTAATTTTGTGTTTTGAGCGTTAAAAATGAGAAAACCCCATTTTTTTACGCCATAAAACCCTCCGTCAAACCCCTTTCCCATGGTTCGACCAAGCTAGTTCGCGAACTCATTCAAGTTTATTTCGCTTTACACCTTTAAACGAAATTTCACCAAAATCGGACAAAAATACAAACGCATACCTAGCGTGGTTTTGTAGGTTTCAAAATTGCATCCAACCATCAAAGGACTATACAGTAGAACCTCGATAAGAAGACCCTCGATAACAAGTCACCCTTGATAACAGGGTCATTTTCAAATCCCCTTGAAATTATTTTACCCCTAATCACATGTTATTGCAAACCTCTATGGGCAACATCTATTGAGTTTAAAAAGAAAACAATAAAAGTAAACTGATTCCCTTATATCAAAACAAACAAATTTCACACTCATTCTTTGCTAATTTTTGTGTAGATTATTCTGTGATTGGAATAAAATTGCCTTGATGCGTCCATATCTCTATTGGTAATGAAGAAAACAGCTGGGTTTGGTTCAGTGGATAAGTGGCTGGGCATGTTTTACTTGAAATGAAAAAAAAAATAGTATATTTCATCTCTAGGGCGCAAGGTGACTCTTTTCGTAGACACCTTTATTTGCCCGTCTGATTAACTCCATAGGGACTAAAAAGGCTTTTTACTCCCTAGGGAGTAAAAGAGCCACTTTAGACACGCAATGCATGTATTAAAAATGGCCCTTTTTGCTACAGTATGACAACAACTAATTTGCATTTTTTTGCGGTGTTATCGAGTTTTATGGCTTAAATAAAAAAAAACTAAACCAGTTTGCATATTGCACGTCTCCGTAGACGCGAGTTTTAAAGTAAAATAAGTGGGAGTGGTTCTTCAAAGAGATTATTGGGAACAAAACTTGCATTTAGTGTATTAAATATATATAGGTATTCGTCAAAAAATACTTATATAGGCCTACCTGAACCTGATTGACTTTTATAATAATCTTTGTTCAGTTTAAATGTTTTTCGTTTAGAATTAAGATCATTGACTATATACTCAATGATAGGATTCATATAAATAGGAGTGCGTTTATATCAGGGAGTGCCAAAATTACTCTCGCAAATCCGGCAAAACACTTTGCACCGGCCTAGACGAGAGTCAACTCAACATTCAATAGTATGAATAAAATAGTCACTAATTTGTTAGGTACCGGTACTAAAAACTTATAAGGTACATATTTCAGTGTATCATACAGTCCGAAAATACAGCAACAGTGTTGTACTATACTTTGCAAACCTACTACGACATATGTATTCATAATTTTCCAAGTTTAGTAATGCATTGATTTAACATTCCTTCCATGATGATGGGGGTTCTCTTTTATACTGAAACCAGATGTTTTGCACTAGGCCTAAATAAATTGCGAAATTATAAAAACTTAGCTGTAAATATAGTATAACTAGCAGAGTACCCGTCCTTCGTACGGGGTTGGCAAATACGTATAAAATGCTTATTGCGGTTAAACTCGATCTTTGCTTTTGCACTGTGAGAAGACACGGTTTAAGAAAATTTGCTTCCTCAAATTTACGGTGTATGCTATAGTATTATACATCTACCATAGCCATTATGTTCTACCACTTCACCTGCACAATAGAGAAAGATAGATTTATTAAAAATTCGCAAAATATCACAAATTATTCATGAACTTAAAAACATAACCATACTGTAAACAATCCTACTTTGACAGTTCTCATTGCGTATCACAGTGTGTTTTGTTGCTGCTTAGTTCCAATTAGCTGATGTCATAAAAAATGAAAAAAATAATAGTGCTGCACCCTGATGGTAAATCTTAAAAAAAATTAATTGCATATCATAGAGCCAACTCTTTTAGTTAAAATTGCTGCTTAAATTCTTTAATTCCCTTTAAATATGAATACTCATAAGGTTAACATGGGGAACTGCAGAGCCACTGGGGCGGAGCCCGAAAGGATTTTTGAGATAAGAATGTGCCTAAATGTTAATCGGGAATGTGAGCTCATCATGCCAAATTTCAGCCCAACCCGACCAGTATTTTTCAAGTTTACTTGTCACAAACATACATCCATACATCCAGACTTTCTCATTTATAATATTAGTAGGATGTCGGGACCTTACATCATTAAACTTTGGACTAAGTTATTACTGATTTGTAAGTTGTATTGTGTTGGTTAGTTTATGGTTGTATCCTAAAGTCTTAAATTGCAAGAGTATATGACAAAAAACTAATAAAATAAAATAGCATTGATTTAAAAAATACCACCTGAATGAGTATACTGTATTTTATAGGCTCTATCTAAGTAGTTTTATATACAGTGTCATTTGATAAAAACTCCTATGTAACCGATTGTGCTGTTAATATTAGAATAACTATCAACTATGCTATGTAATAATTGTCAAAAGCAATGAATACATAAATAAATGATTAATTAATCATGATTAATGCAAAATAATCAGTTGCAATGTAATTAAAGCACGATTCAGACGACTGTTCCTCTGGATAATGGCTGTGGCAGACAGTGTTGTCAGTTGTAGTTGAGCCTAGAGGCGTTGACTGTAAATTCTTCTAGAGGCAGGCCTACCAACCGCTGAAAAATTACATTATTATAACTTTTAATTATATAACACTATTTAATGCTATTACTGAAACTTCTAGAACAGGTCCCAACTGAGCATAAGGCAAACATGGTTGCATGGTTCAGAGAAAGGGGCGATTCAGTCAAAATCCGTTACGTGCCTACAAATGTTTTTTCTAGTAATCGTGCTACAAATCTATTTTTTAAAATTACACTTATACGTTAATCTACTCTACTCTAACCTAACCAACCAAACTTCTCGAAAAAAAAGTTGGTTAGGTTAGATAACCTAAACTAACCAACCAAACTTCTCGAACAGCCATTTCGGTATTTACAATAAGTGTAATTGTAAAAAATAGAGTTGTGGGCACATAACGGATTTCGACCGGCGATTCTCCAGGCAAAAAAACAATTACTAAACGCTGCAAATAAATACATTGACCACACAAGTAGAATACAT